AAAGTTGGATCTAGGAGATTTAATCCTATCCCTGCCTTCCAGTTTTTCCATGCCTACAAAAGGTTACAAAAGCACACACGAGGCATCAAAGTGAGAACCAGCTAAAATTCGAACTTTTATTTATCACAAGACAAGAAAGAAACATAAAATAAGTATAGATTGTCATACTTACATAACTTAGTAGGTCCTCTATGTTCTCCCCATTTTGGAAACAACTATTCTTTTGTCCACTAACAATTTCTAAAAGTAATACTCCAAAACTAAAAGCATCTGACTTTATTGAGAACTGCCCATGCATTGCATACTCTGGAGCCATGTACCCACTGCAAGTATATCAATAGCAATGGGATTATTTTCAAGATAAAAAATGATAAACACATTTTCTAGTATTTTCTTAATGGAATACATAAGAAAGCCATTTTTGGTATTTTCATGTTGTCAATAAGGAACAAAGCTAATTGGATATTTATTTGTAGAAGAAACAATTCAAAGTTTTACTATTTTTAATACTTACTAAGTTCCCACAATTCTGCTTGTATTTCCTTGGGTTTCATCTCTTTCAACTAATCTCGCCATTCCAAAATCTGCAATTTTAGGATTCATATCTCCATCTAATAAAACATTACTTGCTTTGAGATCGCGATGAATTATTCGAAGACGAGAATCCTCATGTAGGTAAAGGAGGCCACGAGCTATGCCTTTGATGATTTTGTAACAGATTTCCCAATCTAATTGTGCACGCTTGATTGGATCTGTATGTTCATATATATAGATATATATATATATATAGTTCATATGAGAGTATGTCACTAATCAATAAGTAGGATATGAATTTAAACTGTTTGAGGGCTTTACAGATGACTAGAACATAAATGTGTAACCCCTTCAAACATGCAAACTCAAATATAATTATTTATGAATAGAATTGAAATATGAATCAAGAGCAAAATCTAAATGGCATGCACATACCAAAAATGAAATGATCAAGGCTTGTGTTTGGCACAAATTCATAGATGAGAAGCCTTTCATCTCCTTCCAAGCAGAAGCCAAGGAGTTTGATCAAATTCCGATGTTGAAGTTTGGCCACTAAAAGGACCTCATTCTTGAATTCTAAGTCTCCTTGTCTAGAAGCACTAGATAACCTTTTCACGGCTACTTCTTGTCCTTCTGGAAGCTTGCCCTATATATAAAACAGAGTGGTATTAACTAAATGTAAGTTCAATGAATACCAAATTTCAAGCTAATTCAATACACCAAGATGTACTATAATTAATGTTCTCTTCTGATTCATAACATCATTACCTTGTAAACCGCTCCGAATCCTCCTTGTCCAAGTTTATTTTCATCACAGAAGTTATTAGTTGCGGCCCGAATAGTGGCTAAGTCAAATTGCAAAGACTCGGCCTTGATCATTTCATCTCCTTCTGCAGTTGCCAAAAGCAATACATGGAATGGGAGTAAGAATATAGGCATTCTCTAGCAGGAGGAGTGCATTTCGAAAATACTAGTATTACTTACTTTCGATATTTTCCCTTGGCTTTCTAAGTTTTAAACAGATCCAAATACAGAGGACAAGTGACAGAATGCCGACGACCGAAGCAACGACGATAATGATGATTATTAGAGCTTTGTTGCTCCTATTTCCATTTCCATTTCCTGCACAACCCAAAAGTTTCAACTCACAGCTTGAATTATATATAATCTAATTATCTAATAGCTAGTACAATTATTCGAAAAGAATAAAAGCACACTTTACCTTCTGGTGAAGGTAAAGACAACGGCGGCGAAGGCGGCTGAGGAATGCCTTCTACTGCTGCAAAAAATGGGCTGGTCTCATATCTCAAATTACAGCTGGGTTGTAGAACTCTGCATCCGATCTTCCCATAGCAGCCAAAATCGATCCTTCCGATTGCCATTGTTAGACAATCGCTGCAATCCTGCTGCGATAGGTCCGGAGTGCACTGCGTGAGAGCGTAAATTGTCAAATTGGAACCCAGATCGGCCGTGTTACCTGCCGCATATTTGAGAAAAGGTCCTCCGACGGCCGCACGGTTGCTCAAGTTAGTCAACAAGGGTCTCAACGCCCGATTGAACCCATCAATGTCCGATGCGTTGTTAATATTAAGCAACATGGCAGAAGGTCGGGATTCCATATATCCATAGAGTTGTCGACTTGAGTAGCGTAACATACAGAATTCCGACCATCCGTTTACCTCTTTGTATTTGGGATTGGGACATCGCTGCTCGAGTTCGGATTTGGTGTCGTTCAGGCAACTTCTGCAAACGTCCTCCTTTAGGTCTCCCCTGCAAAGTCCGATTGCGTTGAAGAACAGATCGTAGAACCCATAATTGGAATCCGCCGTCGTGGATAGGGATAGATTGTAGAACCCCTTGGTAGTAAGGGACAGATTGTAGAACCCATGATTGAAATCTACCGTGGTCAATTGCTGAGAAAACAGAAGGCTGACGTTGGCCCCGTAAGTGCTGTTGGCAGTGAAGTTGCCAATGTTAACACAATTAGACTGGAAGTAGGGATCCAGAGCAGAAATAAAAGTTATGAGAAAAACAGAGAAAAATAAGATCAGAAAGAGTGCTGAAGATCCCATTTGCCTTTCTTCTAAAAACCTTCAAAACCCATGCATTTAAGGGAAAATAGCCATTGATGTCTGATGAAATTTGTGTGAAGTTAGTTTAATAAGCAATTATGAATAGATCGAGATTGGAGTGGTTGGTGACAAAACCACCAATGGATGAATTTTCACTTGCCCTTATCAAAACCATATTAAAGCAGCTAATAACGAATATTTGAAAATAATGATGTGATATAAATTATATTATTTAATTTATTTATTTATATAATATTTAAATTTTAATAAAATTAAAAAAATAAATTTTAAATAATAAAAATTTTATATTTTAATATTTTAAATAACATATTTCTTTTTTTTGATACATCAA